TGGTATCCTCATCGGTTCGGAATGTCACATGGTTCGGAATTGACCACAGAAGTCAAAACCGAACTGTTACGACATGATAGAAGCGGCACACTCAAGGCAGGAGCCAACAAACGGATTACGCCCAGAGGTTTTACCCGCAGACCGCGGCCTTTAACCATGATCAACTACCTCAGTCGACCACAGAGGTCGACCATTCCCGAGGTGGAAACTTGGACCTCCGCATTACGACTCGGGTAACTTAACCGACCACAGAAGTCGGTGAAGTTTCAACTTACATCCGAAGAAAGTCGTATCAATTACTTCGGCAACCGGACTCCGGAAGTAAGAACCAAGAATCACTTGGACCGCAACAGAGCGGATCGGGTCAACTACGACCTGCTACCCAAAATCGACCACAGAAGTCGTTTACCAATGGTAGCCAACCTAAGAAAACGTCAACACTCGACCAACCGACCTCGACCTGATGGAAGCATACGGAAGTCACAAATCGGATCGCCTCATCGAACAGGCCACCTTTATCGACGACAGAAGTCGATAACGACATCCGCAGACCGCGGGAACCACGACCTTAGTCTGGCCGGACCTTAGTCTGGCCGGGGCTCCCGACGGTTTAGTTGGCTACCGGTGTACCAACGACTCCGCCGACCCACTTCCCAGGACATACCAAGGGAACATCCTAGGCAAAGCGCTAGTGGTCGCGAACTGCACCCCCAAGCAGACCCCACCACGGACGGGTAACGTCTTTTCCCAACGGAAGTGGCAAGGCGTCACCGGTTGTGGAACGCAACAAAAGACTCCAACCAGGAAGTGAAGGTCTGATTCTACCTCAAAACCTTGCATGTGCCTGAGGATGGAAACGGGCAGTCTGACATAAGTCGGGGCCCGAAGCACAACGCTGCCAAGGCGCGAGAACTGCACGCTGGTTTCAACCAAGGGATTACCTGGTTAAAAGGGACCACATAAGTCCCTTGACGCCAAAAGCGACCAGGATTGCATGCTGGCCAACAGACGCCACGGTAACTGACGAAATCGACGGAACTTGGACCCGTCCAGAGGCAAAAATCTGATGTCACATGGCTCAACGGGACAACCGACCAACAGCGACTAAGAACCGACCCAGAGCATGTTAGAGGTACGAACCGGACCATCGCTCCAGACAACTTTGCGGGGCTTGGGCGAATGCTCAGAGGCCTGAAACGACCTCTTAATGTATGGAGTCGATCATGATGAACAATCACCGACCTCGGGTTGGACAACATTATACTCGACCTCAGGTTGGATAAAGCGAAGCGACCGACAACAGAGCTCGGACGAATGCCAGGAGTGCATGCCGAATGGCCAACAGACGCCATGGAACCGCCAAACTTGACGGAACACGGACCCGACCCAGAGCATGTTAGAGGTACAAACTCAACCATCGCTCCTAACAACTTTGCGGAGCCCGGATGGACGCCCAGAGGCTTAAACCGACCTCTTGACGGACGAAACCGACCTCGATGAAGAATCACCGACCTCGGGTTGGGTAACATTATACCCGACCCCAGGTCGGATAAAGTGAAGTCACCGACAATAGGTCGGTTATGAGGAGGATTCAACCAAAGCGGACTTGTATGGCTCCACTTGAGCCTGCACACCGCAAAACACCTCGGTTAAACATGGAATCACCGACCTCAGGTCGGATAATATTGTAACCGACCTCAGGTCGGCCATGGGGAATAACCGACAACAGGTCGGTGGATGGACTCACCATGGAAGATTTTCACGGAAAACGATTTCCGGACGGATAGATTCGACCTAAACGACCTTGTGTGGTCCCACTTGGACCTGCAATTATGGAATCATCGACCTCAGGTCGGATAATATTGTAACCGACCTTAGGTCGGACATGTGCGGATAACCGACAACAGGTCGGTGGACGGAAGATTCTAACGGAAAACGACTTCCAAACGGATGAATTCGACCAGAACGAACTTGTATGGTCCCACTTGGACCTACAAAAGTATAACTCGCCTTGGTCGACCTGGAACACAGGATAACCGACCTCGGGTCGGATAACATTGTAACCGACCTCAGGTCGGATACGTGAAGTAACCGACAACAGGTCGGTGGATGGAGACACCATTGAAGATGTCCACGGAAAACCACTTCTGGACAGACGAAATCGACCTCGGTCGACCTGGGAAACAGGATAACCGACCTCCGGTCAGATAACATCGTACCCGACCTCAGGTCGGACAAGCCAAGTAACCGACAACAGGTCGGTAGATGGATATCCTTTGGAAGATCTCCTCGGAAAACGACATCCGGAAGGATGCATTCGACCTTGCTCGACTTGGGACACGGAATAACCGACCTCAGGTCGGATAACATTATCACCGACCTCAGGTCGGATAACCGGTTTAACCGACCACGGAAGTCGGCTAAGAACACCGGATCGTTAAGAACCGCTTGGAACACCAGCGGATTACCCGGATTACAACCTTCTAACGGATCAGTACTAACGTCACGTGGTAATCGACCTCAGGTCGTATAACATTACCACCGACCTCGGGTTGGATAACATTATACCCGACCTCAGGTCGGACATCAGAAGTCACCGATAACAGGTCGGTGAAGGATAACCAAACTGAAGATTGGAATTGGAAACGACCTCGAAATGGTTTCATTCGACTTAACGGGACTTGTTTGGCCCCACATGGGTCTAAATAACACGGTCACCGAGGTCGACCATGGAGGTACGTTATCACCGACCTCAGGTCGGATAACATTAAGACCGACCTCAAGTTGGATATCCATCCTAACGGACAACAGGTCAGATGCCAACAGTAAATCATCAGTGGATGGAAGGAACAAGAAATTCCGACCGGACCTTCGAGCCAGTTCGCATCGGATGAAGTCATAACCAGGCTCGTGGTAGCAGATTGAACGGTTTCGACCGTCCACATTTTATCGGCATTACCACTTGGCGACCACGGAAGTCGCATGACACAAGTACGGTTTTGTCCGACCTGAACTCTGGAATTCGGAACTTAGCCGGATTCCCCTGCCGCTGGTCAACCTACCAGTAGGCCGACCGTGGTCAACCGACCTCAGTCTAATTCCCTTATTCAGAGAGGATACTTCGGCATTCGCCGCAACGACAGTGCCTCTCTCTCCGAACGGACGGAAACGAGTCGGTTGTAAGTGTCAGCCGTGCTTACCCGACCTTGCACAAGTTACCGGTTACGTTGGGTAATCTGGGAACCGACGCCCCGGACCTGACGTACAGGACTGCATTTGGAAAGAAGACCCCGTGAAAACTCAAGACCCCGTGGACGTCATCCTAGTCGGAATAATCTCTAACCAAACCTGTTTTGTGTTACCTTTGTGCTCACTGGAATTGTGATTAAACTTTATTACATTTTTTCTTTCGCGCTGTTTAACCGTCATTACACTTTTCTTTTACGTTCTCCGAAGCCAACAGAAGCAAGATGCCTGCCGACAGAAGCATTACCGGCCCAACGAAACGCCCGAGCGGCTTCCAGATTTGCGGCCGTGAGTTGCTTGCCTCTCATGGGTCTGGAAGTGAAGGATGGGACGGTCAACAGGACACCGGACTCCCACTGGAAGAGGACGCGTACCGGCGACCCCACATGGGTCGACCGGAGAGGTGCGACGCTGGCGCGGTACTGAGTCGGAGCATCCTCGCAGGAGCTCGGATTCCCGCCCAGAGGCATGTTAGAGGCACGACAGCCTGCGTGGTAGATACGCCACTTTGCGTATGCGTACCAACGCACACATGCTGATTCGCCCTCTCTTGTACGTACGTGAGTGGCTGCACTGCACTCTCCGCCTAGCGGATCCACCGCGGGCGCACTCACTGAGCATACTTGCTCTCTCGTTCCTCTCTCGCTGTATGACTCAGCGCTTATACGCTCGCGTTGGATACGAGTCCAGTCTGCGCATCACATTCGACATGTCTGGACAGCACGACGTTGCCGCCAGCACACTTCTCTCTACATTTGATTACGCTCTAGAACTTGCTCTCAGCAACTTGACGTGCTGATTTTGCATAGCCAGACATTGGCTCTTGGTTCTTCCTCTCCCGCAATCACGCGGTATTTGCTCCCTTTATCTGTCAATAAAGCTCACTGTGAGTCCCCTGCGCTTGCCTGTCACAAACATTTTGCGAAAATAAGTACTGTGAACTGTGAGAATGCTACGGTGACACGAAATCCCTAAAGAGTCTTCGTCGGCACCTTTCAGCACCACGTCACACAGTATCCCTGCGGTTCGCAGAATCCGCAGATCACGATGAAAATCCAAGGTTCTCGCCGTAATGCACATAGTTTTCGCGTTGTTCCCATAAAGATGGCCATTTTGATAGTCGTCACCAGATCCGTTGGGTGCCATCTTTAATTCATGCAACATGCAAGCACTTCAAGATAGTCACAAATCAATTCAACACAGTCATACAAAATATAATTCGAGTATCTCCAGCTGCTTATCTAACGTTTTCAGTTTTTCTGTAGTCGACTATTCGGTGTATCTGCATGATTATTTTGTAATGATAAACAAATTCGTTAAATCCTTCGGTTTTGGCATGACGACGATGATGTAAAAACTAAAATTGTAAATAGTACAGTAACAGTCGGATAACGTAACCGGCAACCGCCTGTAGGTCGCGAGGAACCGGATCAAACAAAAGCTCAGGCCTTCCGGTCTTACGGAAATGGTTCTAATCGCAATCTGCTGTCATTGCTTCTTTCAGAAGCAGTTTTCTTTCATAAAAACAAGATTAAAATTTATTTTAACACGCTTTTCATCGTTCGACATTAATATTCGACGAATGGGACCGTTTAAAGTCAATTCTAACGAGTAAAACAATGTTTGTCGCAAAGCTAACCATCCGGAAAACAAGTAAGACGGAAGTGGCACTTTACCACCAGTGAAGGCGGTTACGTGAATGTTGAATGAATCTGTTCGAGTATGAGAACTCGTGTAAACTGAAGCTCTTTGGGGACGAAGCTGTCAACAAAAATTAGCAGTCTTCCTTAACCGAAATGATTTGGGAATTGGGCCGCAGTTTTCGGGTACTACATATTTTGGAAATCTTTACTGTTTACGGTTTACTCTGTTATCACGGTAAAACTCTGTTGGTTCAAGCAGTCGACCAGTATGATCTCCACATCATCGTCTAGACTCTATACCGTAAACTTATATGCGCCTCGTTCCAGTCGCACTGGAATCTTAGAATCATTTGAAATTTAATCATTTCACACCTTCCCCGCAGAATTTCTGACCATGACCACGAATCCCCCTTCGATAAAGGCCCCTTAAAGAGCAGATCCTCTGCGTTCGCAGATGACTGACTGTCTACGGCAAATGCTGAGCAGCGCAGACTTGAGTGATGTGCAGTTCACCGTGGGTCGCCAGTTCGGCCTCCTCAACAACTTCCCCGCGCACAAGTAGGACCGCCTTAATCGTTCATCACAAGAGCGAGGCAGCCTACGTAATTACGGAATGATCACGGATGTGGGTTCTTGCAGGCTTCTCTTGGCGGCTCGCAGCTCCGTCTTCCGAGCCATGTTCTTCGGGGGCTTGCCAGAGAAATGCCACACAGCACTCGACATCCCCGATATCCATCCCGAAGCCTTTGCCAATCTGCTCAGGTATGTGATCGGGACGAAATATTCAATCTTCCCTAACTGACTCTGCACTGTAGTTTCATCTACACGGATTCAGTTAGAAATCTTAACGCGGACAATGTCTTCGCGACGTTGAGCTGCGCTGATAAGTACGATGTGCCGCAGCTGGTGCAGATCTGTTCCGACATGGTCACCAACCAGCTGAATTTGGAGAACTGCTTGGCCGTTTTGGAAGAGGTAGGCGTCATTGCCAGTTCTCCAATGCACCCACGTACGGCAACGACAAACCCGGGCGTTATGGTGGTTGTTGTGATTTTTGTGCAGGCAATTCCTTGGCATGCCGAGGAGATAGTGCACAAGTGTCTGGATTTCGTGGATGCCAAGAGTTTCCGGATCCTGCAGTCGGAGCAGTTCACGACCATCAGTCATCATGTGCTGCAAATGATTCTGCAGCGCAGCACGCTGACGGTGGAGGAGAATTTTGTGTACATGGCTGCTGAAAGGTACGGCAGGATTTCGATTTTATTCACATTACAAACGCTCTATCGATGGAACTACTACTGGTAGTTGTATATAAGACTAGCATTTATACTGCATATGGTATTTTAACTATTATAGTATTTTATTTTATTTGCTTATACTAGCATTTATTTATAGTAACAGATTACCCCCTTACGCGCTGTTATTTGAACAACGCAAATAGTAGCAAGTGAGCCGTTGCATGCCTGATGTATTTTTACATTGAAGTTTTTCAACCACTATTTTATTGTATTTTCTGATTTGCTGAGTGGCAGACTGTCTAAACAGTTACAAATCATTCTAACGTTGTGCAGCTACAGTAGGTTGTAGAGTTTACTGTGTAAACCAGTGCGTAAAATTTTTGTGGCCTCTTTTCGAAGTCATGCTGTCATAGCAGAAGCGTGTCTAATGCGAAAAATGCAAGGAAGTGCGCCTGTATTGTTAGCTACATCTTGCCGCTAGCGGATTGCGTATCCCGTTTGACAAATGCGCGAAATGCCACGATTACCGCATCTACCTGCATTTTATTGCTTCAGATGGGCAACAGCGGCCTGTGCTCGCAACAACATGGAACCATCCGGCGCCAATCAGCGGCACATGCTGGGCGATGCTGTCTTCTTGATACGATTCCCATTGCTGACCCCTTCGCAGCTGGCTGATGGCCCCGGCAAGGTGAGCAGGCGTCCGTGGCACCCAGACGTTAAGAATTAGGTACTGATTATTGATGATACGATGTATTTGACAGAGTGATCTACTGAATGAAGCGGAAATCTCTAGCATCGTCATGTACCAGCATGCCACCGTCAAACCGCCGCTTCCGTTCCCCGTGGAACGCCGTACGGGACCCCCGCCACTGGATCCGCTAACGCTGCGCTATGGAGAGGACGTCTTTGTGAAAACCGGGAACTGGGACCGCTGGGAGCCCGCCCGGGTGACCGGATTTACTCCGCTGCAGGTCTTTGTCGTCTGCTGCAGCGGTTCTCACTGCTTTCCTGTCGCACCGGAGCAAGTGGTGCGGGGTGCGGATATCCTACACCAAGGCCAAGCTCTGCAAGTGCGCATTCGCAGCGGTCGTCGCTACCGCTCCATCAGTGCGACATACGACAGCCTGGTGGGCTGTCGTCATCAGGTCAGCGCCGACGGACAGAACACCGTGGCGTGGTTCCACGATTTGCAGCTGCTGGACAGTCAGGTCGCCTCATGGAAGGCCATCAATGGAAAAATGTAGAAAATGTTGCTGTGCAGTCTGTGCAGTTACTTTCTACGCATTTGTGCATATTTGGCAGTAGTCATCTTAATGTCATTGCTGCAAGTTTACCAAAATTGTCGTGGCTTCGGTTTTTGTAATCGTGAACGGTGAATACTGCGAGAAACCGTGATGTGTTAGCAATAAATTTTCGAGACCAACTCAAAAACGCGTGAGAGTCTGAGATGTATTCGATGAGGACCAGCTTTCACCGAATACATCTCAGACTCACGCGTTCTTACATAGCGACACAACCGAAAGTCTGTCTGTCGCACGGTAATTCCTGTTCAATAAATAATTTCGCAAGTTATTCATTTTCCCGCACGAAAGCTGACTGATTCTCTCTCTAAGGTTAACAAAACCGATCAAGTAATTAAAATTGTAGTTCAAAGCAAGTCCAACTTAAACTGGAAGCCCAGCGTGTGTGTGTGTATACATGTATTACTTAATTAAATTGTTTAGTATGCTTAACAACAGGCAACGCCTTGTGTTCACAGCATCTAAATGAAAAGTTCATTCCAGTTAACATGAGACGGACAAGCTCCCAAAACCCTTTGAGCCTTACAATGTTGAATCTCGAGAGTGTCGTTAGTTTGCTTGGCAGACATTTTATGAAGCTGATTAAACAAACAACAAAGGCTTGTCAGTTCAAGCCACCATAAACAACAGTAATATGCGCATCACAGATGCAACAGGTGATTGACTAACTGGGAAAATTGCACTTTAACACAATGGTCTCTTGAATGAAGCAGAAATCTCCAGCATCCACAAGTACCACGAGACGGCCGCGAAGCCGACGCCTCCATTTCCGACGGAACGCCGCACGGGACAGCAGGCGCTGGACCTGATGACGCTACGCCCCGGCGACGACGCCTTCGTCCAGGCCCGGGCTGGAGGCTACTGGAAGCCAGCTCGCACTACCGAAGCCTCCCCCAGGATAGAGTCGTTCCAATGGTATAATGATGAAGTCGACCGCGCTGGCCCTCCAAAGATAGTACTACGGGGTGCGGATATTTTGCAGCCTGGCCAGCCTCTGCTAGTACGCCATCCCAAAGTCCCTGGTTACCGGATGGAAGACGCAGTGTATGACAACCGGAGGGGGGATCGGCACCGGGTCAGCTGTAATGGAGAGAGCTTTGTGGTGTCGTTCTCCAGTTTGACGCTACCGGATAGTGAGGTCGTGTCATGGAAGACGATCAATGGGAAAATTTGATTACCGGGCAGTTTGTTTGCAGACAGTTGAACCTTCTCCGCACTTTTCTACAAATAAAGGTCACTCTGTTTGATGTCACGCCGGATTGTTTATCAATGTTATGGTGTCATTTGTATGATGTCATCATTCGTATGATGTTTATCAATGTTATGGTGTCATTTGTATATTTTGCTATCTTTTTTTAAGTCTCTTGATTTTTTGGCATCTGCCGCCAATATAAGCGGGAATGCATCGCGACTTTTGAGAGCTGCGGTTTGGTAAGAGCTGCTGTTTCGTTGAGAGTTTCGAGTCACGGTTTCACCAATAAAGTCCATCGCTGTACACGCTGCAGGAATCGCTTTCCACTCGTAATATCAGAGCTGTCACTGCTTTTTTGGCTTGTACAAATATTGTGAAGAAGCGATTTGGCGAGGCTTTTTCGTTTTTATACCGCTGACATGACCAGTAAGCTATGATAAAACGAAACTGAAAATCGTAAGAAAGAAATTAGCCAAGCCGTGAAGGCGAGCGTTATATGTGGTGACTTGCGCTAGCGACGGTCACAAATTAAAGTTATTAAACCGCAAAGTGTGGTACAGAAAAACAGCGTTACAACACACGGGAAGTGTTTCTATGCCCATGAATTTGCACACAAGGACTGCACGCACTGCCAGTGTTACCGATTCTGTATAAATACAGCAAAGCTTACCGTGATACACAAAGAAAGTTCCGGAGGGCCAAAATGTTTAACAAAGCACTATATACACAGGGCACATCCATACTCGGTTGCGGCCGATGTACCGTCGCTTACAAATGTGTTCAAAGACATCTTTTTTTAAATCCTACCGTGATAACCTTCTATTTCTAAATCCAATCAGCACGATATGCTAGCTGAAAGCAGGCTTTACTGAACAGGCACCGTTTCACCATTGAGATTCTGCTAAATGCTATTAGCCAGGTGTCGGAAGAGAAAATTATCCGATCTCGCAATGATATGAACAGAGCTCTTCAAAGTTTAAGAACTTCACAGATTGTTGTCATAAAAGACGTCGTCCAATAAGCTGCTGAATTTCTATGATAGCTAGAGAGCTTGTTTGTCCGTTCCTTAAAGGGTGGCAATAAAACTGCAGGAACATGTCCAAGCATCCAAGTGAAACTGGGTCGACGATTCCTGAAAGTCGTGATCCAGGATCGGGCATAATCCTGTGTATAAAGGAGATGTTGTCCAGCGGAGACCTGAGTGACGTGAGCTTCACCGTGGGACGCCTGCTCGGCGAAGCGCGGAATTTTTCGGCTCACAAGTAAGATATTCCCAGTGGCTTTCGCTCTGCGAACTGCAGTCTCCTCATTCCCTGACTGCGCGCAACAGCGAGTACAACTGTATTGCTGTCACACAGGGTCATCCTGGCGGCCCGCAGTCCCGTATTCCGCGCGATGCTTTATGGCAGCCTGCCGGAGAACTGCGACGCTCCCATCGACATCTCCGATATCCTGCCAGAAGCATTCGCCAATCTCCTCAGGTAAACGGCCGTGAGCTCAGATTTCTTGTGCCTTCTAAATTTTCGAAGGTCATTTCCAACTTCTGATCCGTACAATTTGCAGCTTCTTGTACACTGATGCAATGGATGCTCTGAGCATGGACAACGTCCTTCCGACGATGGGTTGCGCTGACAAGTACGATGTGCCCCGCCTGGTTGCGATCTGCTCGGACTTCGTTATCAGCCAGCTGAATCCCGAAAACTGCCTGGCCATGTTGGAAGAGGTATACCTGCTTTCGCATCGGGCGAATATGTAGTAACATTGTAGCTAATCACATTTATTCGGTGGTTCGTTTTGCCAGGCATTTTACTGGAATTTCGGCGGTGTGGTGGAGAAATGCCTGGATTTCACGGATAGTTGGAGTGAGGCGATTCTGCAATCGGGACACTTTACGAACATCAGCCAGGAGACACTGGAGATGATTCTGCAGCGCAACACATTGTCCGTTGAGGAGAACGAGATATACGTGGCTGTTGAAAGGTAAACAAATCATTTTCAACATTTATATCTAAGTCGCCAGAGCGTTTTATAAGAATAGAATTATAAATACCGTAAAATTAAGCGAGAATTCATGTATATTGATATCAATGTTGTGTGTTATGCAGCTGGGCAAGGGCGGCATGTTCTCGTAATGGCCTGGATCCATCCGCCGCCGCTAACCGCCGCCAGATGCTTGGTTCCGCTTTGTTTCTGGTGCGATTTCCACTGATGACCAACGCTCAGTTGGCTGACGGTCCCGGCACGGTGAGTTATCGTTATAGGTGACCTACATTAATCGTCCGTTCTAAATCGTGCTCTTTGGCAGAGTGGTCTCTTGAGTGAAGCGGAAATCACCAGCATCTTCCTGTTTCTGAATGCGAGAGTGAAGCCGCCGCTGCCGTTTTCCTCGCAGCGCCGCATCGGAAGTATGAAGGTGGATCGGAATTTTAGCCGGGATTCTTCTACGTTTCCGCCTGGAGAAGATATGGTTGACTGGTTAATTTGCGCTTCGTCAAGTCAGCCTAGCATTCCTCGACCCATTTCTTCAAAATTCGGTGTAGGCCGCGGGTTTTCTTTCCGCTAGATGTTCTGTAAGGTGTTTTGCGTTTTTTGATTCTTGGCGTGCGTTCGTGATGAAATAGCGGTGTTCTGAAAATGCGAGCCAGAATACCGTCTCACCTGGATACCGCTGTACGTCATATAATTTCGTTACCGAGTTAGAGTTTTGCTAACGTTAGCCAGTAAACGAAATCGTTCTGCTAATTTTTGGCTGTTGGTGTGACAAAGAATAAACTTCTCGCCAACTACCCGTAACAAGCCACACGGCCGATCCTTTCTGTGCAATGCCGGCAGTGAATATTACCGACTAACACAATAGATGGCGATTTCCGCGGCTATGCTCTTTTCCACAAAAAAAACAGTGCGGATTTGTCTTGTTGCCGACGTTGTCAATGATAATGTAGCTAGTGCGCTCATTAAACTAGTACTTAACTTCCGTACTCGATTGCGCCGCCGGCCGATATACATCACGTATGTACTCTGTATGTGCTAAAACAGATTTAAGAGATTTGTATCCTAAATCGGATTGGCATACATGCTGGACGCAGGCTTTACTGGCCAGTCACTGATTTATTATTGACTTTTTGCTAAATGCTTCTAGCAATCCGTCGGAAAAAGAAATTTATTTCGAAATGATATGAGCCGAGCCTTTTAGCAGTTTAATTATAAGGACTTCGCAGTTTGTGGTCATAAGCAACCATTTCGTCTCATATCGGTCCAATTTCTATGGTAGTAACGGCCATAATTAAAATTATTATTTGCCCATTTCTTATTTGCTAGTAATAAGATAACGGAATCATGTCTAAGCAGCCGTGTAAAACTGGGACGGTGACTCCCTATGGTCCAGATCCAGAAGCGTGCATAATCCTGTGCATGAAGGAGATGTTATCCAGCGGAGACCTGAGTGATGTGCGCTTCACCGTGGGACGCCAGCTCGGTCAAGCGCGGATTTTCTCGGCTCACAAGTAAGATATTCCCAGCGGATAAGCTCTAGGAATTGCACCTATCCGGACCGTTCGAAATACAGCGAGTATTGCTACCACACAGGGTCATCCTGGCGGCTCGCAGTTCCGTATTCCGCACGATGCTCTATGGTAGCCTACCAGAGAAATGCGACGCTCTCATCGACATCCCCGATATCCAGCCAGACGCATTCGCCAATCTGTTTAGGTGCGCGATCGGGATCTTAAATTTATTGTGTTTCTACTGCAACTACTGCCCTATCAGTTTTTGACCTTTGCCACAGCTTCGTGTACACCGATGCAGTGGATTCTCTAAGTTTGGAAAACGTTTTTGCGACAATGGGTTGCGCTGACAAGTACGATGTGCCACGGTTGGCTGAGATCTGCGCGGACTTCGTTGTCAGCCAGTTGAATCCCAACAATTGCCTGGTCATTCTGGAACAGGTGCGTCTTCCTTCAACATCAGGCGACTACGAAGTTGATCACATAGATTGGGCGGTTTGTTTTGCAGGCACTTTATTTTGACGATACGGTGCAGAAATGCCTGGATATCATGGATAGTTGGAGTGAGGCGATAATGCGATCAGAGCACTTCATGGGCATCGGCCAGGAGACGCTGCAGATGATTCTGCAGCGTGACACATTGTCGGTTGAAGAGAACGAGATCTACGTGGGTGTTGAAAGGTAAACAAATCACTTTCAACATTCTACATCTAAGTCGTCAGAGCATTTTATAAGAACAGAACCATAAAAATCATAAAATCTGGCGAGAATACATGAACTGTTACAGTGATATGAATTTTATGCAGCTGGGCAACGGCGGCCTGTTCTCGTAATGGTATGGACCCATCGGCCGCCAACCGGCGCCAGATGCTCGGCTCCGCTTTATTTCTGGTGCGATTTCCACTGATGACCTGTTCCCAGTTGGCTGACGGTCCTGGCACGGTAAGCTGCCGTTAGAAGTGTCTTTACATTTTACTAACTTTTAAAGGGTAGTGTGTCGCAGAGTGGTCTCTTGAGTGATGCGGAGCTCTGCAGCCTCTTCATGTATGGGAATGGCAAAGAGAAGCCGCCCTTGCCGTTTTCTACGCAGCGTCGAACCGGAAGCAGTAAGGTGGATAGCAATGCTGGTTCGGGTCCTTCAACCTTTCAGTTTGGAAAATACGAAAACGCGGATGATTAAGTACCTTTCGCCGCTTTTGTAGCCAGTGCCGGGCAGGTCTGGCATAACCGGCGTCATGACTTCACCTCCGCTTCGTCTGCACAGTCGGTTTCGCTTTTCTTCCAGCAACTGTGCGGGTCGCCGGTCTTTTTTGTATGTATTAGAATGTGAAGCACATTTTTCTGCATCCTTTGGTTCTAATCTTTGTAGTGTATACTCTCCTTTGGTTCTCGTATACAATTTAAGTAATTTTGTCGTGCACCCGTCTCCCTTGGTTACTGTCCAGTTGTGTAGCTCCCAATCAGATCGTTGTACGGTTGTAGTGATAATTATGAGAAGAATGGGCCCGTTATTGCTAAATAAACAGCCAGCAGTGCTACAAGTATCAGTTTCTTCGCAATGCGGACCGCCAGGAACTACGTAGGAAGGCAACGAAAAAAATATTTCTTTACTACAGTTTGGTTGACGGGCGGCACTTGCTGCCGCCCCACCGGCGATTCCGTCAACCGTGCAGGATTTATGAATGCATTGTGCAGCTTTGAGAAATTTCTTCAACTCTTCAGTTTCTCATAGCAGTTCAGTGCGAGTGCAGGTTATTTCTGATCAAGTTTTCGGATTTTCTTGACTTGTTCTCACTGCTGGAGAATTCTTTTATGCACTCGATCATTCCCGTGTGAATTTTCATCCATCCATGACAACTCATCGAAACTCACCGTAAATGTCGTTTAATCCGTCTTCATCGATGGTTCGTGAAGGGCCAAATTCTGAGCTGACGTTAGCGGACTGCATACAGCAAATGTTGCGCAGCGGAGACCTGATTGATGTGCACTTCACCGTGGATGCCAATTCACCCCAGCCAAAAGCTATTTTGCGCACAAGTAGGAGCACGTTGCTACTCAACGTTGAAAGGCAACTTTCTTCTGTTTCTGCTGCAAAACGGTTTGAGTTCCTGCAGGTTCGTCCTTGCTGCTCGCAGTACCGTCTTCCGCACGATGTTTTATGGGAGCATGTCTGAGAAAGGCCAAACTATTTGTGATATACCCGATATCCATCCTGACGCATTCGCTCAGGTATGTTACCGTTAAAATTATGGCTTGCAGAGTTAACCTTGCGGTTTTTGTATTGAAGCTAACCAGTATTTCCAGTTTCGCGTACGCCGATGCGGTTCAGAATGTCACTGCGAAGAACGTCTTCGCGACATTGAGCTGCGCTATCAAGTACGATGTGCCTGGGCTGGTGAAGATCTGCTCCTCCTTCATCGTTAACCGACCCCGTGCCGATAACTGTCTGACTACTCTGGAACAGGTACGTACTACGTTGTATGGTGTGCCGCATTATACAGGAAACGATGTGGCACTCACTGGTGGTTGGTTTCTGTAGTTAGTTCACCGCAATGCTGACAGCATCGTCCAGAAATGTCTGGAATTGTTGGACGCAGAGAGCGATGCGATACTGCGATCGAAGCAGTTCACGGCCAATGGCCATCAGTCCGGCGACACTGCGGATGGTTTTAAATCGTAACACACTATCGGCTGACGAGAACGCAGTATATCTGGCTGTTGAACGGTAGGTAGAGAAACGAATCATGAGTCTAGAAGCACGCTCGCCTGATTTTGAAATTCATGGTTTTGATGTTCGCATATTTCGATGTAAATTACTTTGTAGATGGGCAGCGGCGGCCTGCGCTCGTAACGGCAAGAGCTCCTCCGCCGTTAATCGGCGTCAGTTATTGGGCGACGCGGTCTTCTTGGTGCGGTTTCCACTTCTAACTCCGCTGCAGCTGGCAGACGGTCCTGGCAAGGTGTTTTGACTTCACGACTTCGTTTACCCGCTTTTTTAAAGTTGCGGATTAAGTTATCCGTGTCATTTAACAGAGTGGGCTCCTGACGGAAGCGGAAATCTTCAGCATCTTCATGTATCACAATGCCAGCGCTAAACCGGCACTGGCTTTTCGCACCGAGCGTCGTACTGGATCGCAGAAATCTGTTTCACTACCATTTCGTCCTGATGAGAATGTCTTTGTGCAAACGGCGGAAGGAAACTGGTGGTTGCCAGCAAGGATTGTCGCGCTGAACGGGGTGCAGGTGGTGTTTATGTGGTGTCGGTGTCGCATCGGTGAACAAGACGCAACCACGGCGGACAAGGTGGTGCGTGCGACGGACATTCTACAACGCAACCAGTTCTTGCAAGTTGATGGATTTGGCGGTTATCAGCCTGCACGCTATTTGAACGCCGAGGCGGATGGTTTGCATTCGGTTTTCCGGGGTGAACAGCGCCGGAGCGTGTACTTTAGCAACTTGGCGCTGTTACGTGATCAAGTGGCGTTGAGGAAAGCAACCAGTAGGAAATTAAATAGATTTGTTTGTCAAACATACAGTGATCCTCTGAATCCTTTGAAGCTTGTTTGTACGATTGGTAACCCCAGAAATCGCAACTTGGTGTGTTTGCTGGCCTTCGTTTTATTTTGTCAGTTAAAAGCCGACGAAAGTGTATTCAGCCATCTTGATGTAGTTTATTGGTAACATAGCGTATTGACTGCAACTCTAACAGTTTCTAATGAGTTTACTAGTTTCACTAGTTCAATCTGTTTATAAAGGATATGTGTTGGATTGTGATGAAGAATAAAAAAGGGTCACAATTTTGGTCACAAAGCCAACCGCACGGAAAGAAGGCAGAGCTCCAGCAATGCCATGTACCAGAACCTCCGTGGAACCATCCCTCGCTTTTGCCGCGCAACGCCGTACGGGACAGAGGTCGTTGAACCTACGCTGCCGGTACACTCATTAGAAAATACGCTCGGAAAGCCGTTTGGAATATCATTTATTTCAACTGGTCATCGTATTGACTGGTACAAAAAAATGCGCAGCACCAAAACCTGTCAGCTGCGACAGATCTCATTACAGTTTTCCATTAGTCTTCTTCCATGAAACCACCTGACTATTCAACAACTTCAAACAGTCGAACCAGACAATGACGTTCCGTCCACTGCAGCTAACCCGGTGCTGACTACCCTCCATGCCGTCATACGTTGCATCCTGGTGACTCACACTGGATACAGTCTGTACTTGCAGCGGCTGGCCCTGTTCCAGAATATCCGCCGCCCGCACCACCTTGTCCGGCGTGACCGTTCCGCTGTGACTGCTTCCGCAATAAACAAACCCTACCTCGGACGGATTGAATGCGGTAGCGCGCGCCGGCTCCCAGTAGTCTCCTCGCACGGTGGGTATGAAGACGTCCTCTCCATAGCGCAGCGTCAGCGGATGGAGCGGCTGCTGTCCTGTACGGCGTTCCGTGGGAAAGACAAGGGACTGTTTCGCTTTGGTTTTCTGGTACGTGATGATGCTGGAGATTTCCGCTTTGTTCAGGAGACCGCTCTGTAACCAGACAATTTCTAAATCAGAGCAAACTCAGAACGAGCGATTACAGAACTGGTTAGCACAATCATCATCAGCTCATCTTCGAGCAGATCCTGACTACCGTTTGTACCTTCACAGGACCCTTAGCCAACTGGGAGCGTGTCATCAACGGGAATCGTATAAGAGAGAAGACATCCCCCAGGATCTCTCGTAGATTCGCGCCGGATGGATTCGTGTTGCTACGAGCACAGGCTGCCGCAGCCCACCTGCAAGGATTAACATTTAGCGGCATCTAAGAAACGCCTTTGCGAACGACACATCTGCCGAATGAAATGGTTCCCATTACAGTAAAACCATTTTAGTTATTACCATCAAACTTGTATACGAGCTCGTAGCTCTCAGATTTGCATCACTTACGTGGGGGAACTTTGCAAAAAATACTAGGCACCCGGAACAAAGCCGCACATTACCGATTTATTTGCAAGCAAACAAATAATATTATTCGAAACGACTTTTCGCGCCTTCAGGCAGCTAAGGATCCGAAGATTGTCAGGTAATTTCGTACCTTTCAACAGCGAGCCAGACAACGTTTTCCTCCACGGTCAGTGTGTTGCGCGACAGCATCATCCGCAGTGCCGCCGGACTAACGGCCGTGAACGACTCCAAATGCAGAATTCGGTAACTCCTGGCATCCACCAGTTCCAGACACTTCTGCACTATCCCGTCGGCGTGCGATTGTATTGCCTGGAAAAACAACACGCACCACTGAAAATCTGAGAAACCTAAGAAATCTACGAGTCTAGAAAATTATAAGAAGCACTGCGAAATCTAATGAAACCAAGATGGTTTAGTAAAACGAGACATCCAGATTGTTCGACATGGTGGCGGTCGATGAAATGACAGATGATCACGCTACCCACCTCCTCCAAAATGTCCAGGCAGTTCTCCGGTTTCAGCTGGCTGATGACCAAGGCAGAAGAGATTTCTACCAGCTGTGGCAAATCATATTTGTCAGCGCAGCTCATCGTGGCGAAGACATTGTCCAAGGTGAGATTTTCCACCGTATCAGCGTACATGAAACTACGAAGTGCACGTTTATTAGACTAATGTTTTCATCACGACTCACGAGTGCAGTCAAATACCTGAGAAGATTGGCAAAAGCTTCCGGGTGAATATCGGGAATGTCGAGGACAATTTGACAGTTCTCAGGCAGACTCCCGTAAAACATGGCATGCACGACGGAGCTGCGAGCGGCCAGGATGAGCCTGCAAGAATTCACAAACCCCGAAAATTCCGGATCAGCAAAGAATATTGTGCCTGCACTGTCGGCTGTTCGACTGTCAAAATGGTCGTACTTGTGCGCGAAGAAGTCCTTGGTTTGGCCGAACTGGCATCCCACTGAGAAGTGCACATCACTCAGATGTCCGCTGCGCAACAGCCGTTGCAGGCAGTTCGCCACCTGGGACCCAGGACCTGCTCGATCAGGATTTGCCGAAGATGACGGATTCATGGAGATGATGGTTGGTTGCTCAGCTTGCTCTATGGGAAACTCGACCGATGATAAAACTGGGACATGAAGATGATCATAGAATTTGCTTGGACAAATTATGGTTGTCAGCTGACGAACTGTTTTTTAGCAGCTCAATGATCAGCTGTTCAGAAAAAGTGAACTACTGTACTCCGGCCTCTCAATGCTGGCATCAACAACTGTCTTTCACGTAAATGCCCTACCAGGCCGGGAGAATTTCCAGTTCTGCAGCGCGCTCTAAAAGTTCCGCTGTAGAATCTTCAATTTCTGGGCGACTGGCATAGCGGCCCGCAGTGATTGCGCCTATTAAAAATTGCGTGATGTACATAAAAGCATATTATGGGTCATACAGATACTCATAACTCATACAGAACCAGAAGTGCATTTTGCATTCCTACAGATACTGGCAGATCGGGACTCGCTAGTGACGTTTTCCTGTTGATATCAGGATGCTAATATAGTTTTTCTAAACAGCTTGAAGAATTGTTCTTTTTGTTCTAAATCGGTTTATCAAGTTCAAGTGTAAATGGCTTTTAGCTTGTACAATTTGTCAATAAAATCATTGATTGAATATAGTCTATTAGGGGGGATCCATAAATTACGTACGCAGCGAACCAGGGAGGGAGGGGTCCAAAAAGCGTGACAAGCTGTGACGGCCTCGACGAACCCAGGGGGGAGGGGGTGGTCAGCTCTATATATTGCGATTGAACGAACCAGGGGGGAGGGGTCAAGCAAATGTGACGGACCGCTACGAAGGGGGAGGGAGGGGTGAAAAAATCGTGGTTTTCTGCGTACGTAATTTATGGATGCCCCCTTAAGTTGCATACGAAGGGATGACGGTAGCGCATTTCACCAATCCCTGTACTTGAGCCGGCTGGAGTATGTCGTTGCGGCAATACATACGAGGAGGGGGTAAATGAGCTCGATGCACCCTAGCAAGGGGTAACAGAGTTGTTTGTGCCGACTGCAACAGCAGCCACCAAGATTACAGGCAGCGTCATTGAACACGCAGTGTTTTGTTTCCATAGATAGCAACTGAATCACTTCTGTTTTGCAGATTTGGGAACGAAACCAAGCAAATAACATTCCAAAAGAATCAGAAAAAATTCACGAGATTTTTGATACTAAACAAGTTATGACTCATGGTGCAGGACACAAGTTATGGACATTTATGTTTCTCGTAGACACAGCATAGAGTTTGTGCGTGGAACCCAACCGTTGATTCGAATTCTATGCTATGTCTACGAGAAACGCAAATGGCTATAACTTGTGTCCTGCACCATGAATCATAACTTGTTTAGTATCAAAAATCTCGTGATTTTTTCTGATTCTTTTGGAATGTTATTTGCTTGGTTTCGTTCACAAATGTGCAAAACAGAAGTGATTCAGTTTAGCATACAAGTCTATGGAGACAAAAAACTATCGGGCTCAATAACTGCTTCAGGTGTTCTGCGTGATAGCACGGGCTGCCGTCTCTTGGTGGCTGACCGTGTTGCACAGTCACGGGCACAGATAACGAGCTCTGTTACCCCTTGCTCGGGTGCATCGAGCTCATTTACCCCCTCCTCGTATTGGTATGTGAGACGAGGCTTCACTAGCGTTCACGCCCGTGGCGCTAGGCGCTACGCCTTTGGATTATGGTCTGTGTTGTGTCTCGCTTCTTTGGATTGCTGCTTTATAGTGGGCGCGGCATAGCACGTGCTGCACAGTGATGCACACTGTTGAATGAGCTCTACGCTCTACGATCGAGCTGCGCCGATCAGTGTTGATTTTCTGTTAGGCAGACTTGTCAATATTATTAAAAGTTAGCGATTACGGTGCGACGTTTTGTGTTTCCGCATAGCTCGCGATCCAGATCGTATCGCTCACTCCACAGGATAGATCCCGTTTCTGTCTCTGTCTCTGGATCCATTCTGGATCTAGCATTAGATGGTAGCAGAGCCGACAGCGGTTCTCTGACTTGATTTGTGTCAGGCAAAGTTGGCCTGTTATTTGATGCGAAACCCGACCAGTAAGGCACAGGTCTGTTCAACAGCAAGGCGCACACCACAAGCGGTGCAATTTCCTCAACGGAACGCGGATTCCACCAGCTTTGGTTTTCGGTACAGTGTCTTCAGCGAAGACCTGTGCTGTTTCCTCAGCTGTGAAAGAGTGCTAGATTTCAGTCGTCAGTGTTCCTCGGTGTAGAGTCTTCAGCGAAGACCTACACTGGTGTCACTGATACTCGGCAAGGATTCAGCGAATCCTAAGCCGTGGGCCACAAGCGGCGAAGCGCTAAAAGGGGCGCACGGATTTGCCAGATCAGACTCCTCCAAACTGGAGTAGAGCATTACTGTTGCTACGGCACAGCCGGCACAGTAGCCTACTAATAGTGCGAGGCACGCTACGGAACAGCGGCGACGCGGGAACGGAGTTGGAAGAAGAATTGGATCATCTGGATCACTCTCCCCGTGGAACGGACGGACGTGGAACGGACAGACGGTGAACAGGTAGAAAAACCGTTATTAATTACGAGATTGGCTAGTTGATAAATTTGGCAATTCCTATTGGTCCGTTCTGAGCTGAGCGTAGATGTAGGCGGAGTTTTGCACGCAGCACGCATGTCTGGCCGTTGACCGTGACGTCAGGCTAATATAAAATTTAAATGGTGAAACGTGATTGGTCAGTTATCTGAACTGTGATTGGCTGAAATTTGAACTGAACATTTTGAGCTAGCAGACCAATCAGAACGAGGTAAACAACCCGAATGGGGATTTTCCGTTGAACTTGAGCGATAATGGGAAATTTGATTTGAGATGAGATAAGTGAGTCGGAAAGTAACCTTTTGAGTTGAATTGAGTCGGAAAGTGACCTTTGAGACCAGAACAGGACTTTTTGACCTGAAAAGTGACCTTTACTGAAAAGGTGGAATTGACTTAATCGATCTATCTAAGTGACCTTTAAGATCTGGAAGTGACAAACGGTGACCTTTAACGAAGTTGGAATTGAGTTGATTAATAGTACAGCGATATCAGTAGCTGTAAGATTTCATTCGCTAACGTACTCTAAGCTGTAAAAGCGGTTTCGAAGTTTTGTCCGAAAGTGACCTTTTAGGGCAAATCTCTCGAACTTTTTACCAAAAAAGTGACCTTTAAACGGGACTTAGTCGAAATTTTTCAACCAAAAAGTGACCTTTAACAAAGACTTTGAAAAATTTCAAAGTACGAAGTGACCTTTAGGATACTTGAATAAACCATACAATAACGTGTGTGTGAGAACAATTGGCAGGAGCGTCCAAGTTATCCGATCAACATGGACAAAGACCAAGAGGAACCGACATCCAACAGCAGTCAGGGAAGCAAAAGCTCCCGAAGCTCACAGCAAGGTGCACCAAATCCGTACAAAAAAGATTTGTACCCGTACTCACGTCCAGTTGGACATGAGCGGAACACTCGAGCGCCCAAGGCATTCGAGAAGAAGGATTCACGAGGCTCTGATAGTACTTATCAGAAGGCGCTCGAGTCAGTCGCTAACCAGGAAAGCTCCAGCGACGACCAGAAGCACACTCCCGCGTCTACGGCGGGAGGCAATCCGATGAACCAGAAAAAGGTCACCGGGGAGGAAATACCCACAGGAAAAAGTGTGGAACTAGTCGGAGCATCACAGTTGGATGCTACCACTATCGGAACTACTGAACAGGATAAAAATGTGAACCTGGTTCAGTCGGAAGCTGACAGGACAAAGGTCACAGAAATGGAATTGGCTGAACTGGGATTGGATGACCTTTCACTGCACGATAAGACTGTCGGTGATGACCTTTGGGCAACTCCGATGGTCTCAGACGAATCGAACGAATCATACTTCACAGATGACGAAGCGACGATGAATATGTCCTTCCAGACCGCGATGAAAGAAGCCGACCGTGCTGAAGGGATGACACCGTTTAAGGACATACCCGAGCACCTTATTGAAAGGACACAAACGGGAAAGGTCATCAATGTTAGACCGCCATCACCGAACAGTCCCACGTCAACTCTGAAGAGACGCGTGAAGGAGTTGGAAGAGGAACTCGAAGCCAAGGAAGGCCTAGTGACGAAGAGGAGACAGGAATATCAAAACCGGATAGGATCTCTGGATGCTCGTATCTATGAACTGGAGCAACAACAGGCCGATTTGGAAAGCGCAGCAGATGAATGGAAGATTAAATACGAGCGTCAAAAAGAACTCGCCGAGGAGTACCTGAAAATGGTTGATGACAGAGAAATGGAAGGTCATCTTGCGGTTAGCGAGCTGAACGAGAGTATGTCAGAAGAATCAGCCGAAAGGTCACGGCACTTAGCCGAATTGAAGGATGAATGCGACGTATTGAAACAAAAGGTCACGGAAGCTGAAGCTAAGAGTCACGAATACGCAACCAAACTCGCTGAGGCTACGCAACGGCTGCTGACAAATACAAACGAAGTGCTTAGGCTCAGAAACGAACTGAAACAGCGAGACGAGAGTATTGGCACCCTCCAGAAGGAATCACAGGACCATCAGAGAAGAGCCGACGACGCCGTCAAAGTGGCTAAGGACCTGCGTGATCTTACAGCCACCGAAGGCGCACGGTTGAGCAATGAAATAAGACAGGTCATGGAAGAGAACAAGGTGTTGAAAGAAAATATCGGAAAGGTTACCGAAGAGAATACCGAGTTGAAAGGAGCCGCTAAGACAATTGCCGAACAAGGCATGAGGTGGGAGCACGAGGCACACCTCTTGGACGTAAAGGTGACGGCGCTCGAACTGAAAGATAAGGAGTGGCAACAATCAGTCCACCAGAAGACGCAGGAGATTATCAAGCTCAACACGGAGCTGATTGATATGACCCAAACGGTGATGACAAGAGAAGATGAGGTCACCCAGACGAAAAACCAACTGAAAGCAGCAGTCGAGGAATACACGAAGTTGGAAAGGGATGTGACCCAGTTGGCGGAACACATTAAAAGGGTGGAGAATGACACTGAAAAGGTCATTCAGGAGAAGACTTTCCAACTCCACCAACATATGTTAAAGGTCAAGGAGGAGAATCAGAACTTGAAAACGGAGAAAGAGGAAGTCCAGTTGAAAGTCCGTCGCCTTGAGGATGAGAATAAGGCGCTTGTTATGTCCAATAAGCACAAAGATGAACAGCTTCTGCAATATGGAGTCAGGACTTCAACAGTGGAGTCGCCCCCGCCCAGTTATAGCAAGGCGCACGAAACGGGCACGGGCAAAAGTTTCCACTTCGAAATGCCACTACGAACCGGTACTGGCAAAGGAAGTGTCAAAAACGAAAGAAATGGCGAAAAGGTCATCGACGATAAAGAGCCGCCGTCGGAAAGTTACCCGCATATGGGTCGAGGTGACCCTTCACAGTTTCCCCCGCACATGGAAACAAATGTGTTCATTGATGAAGGACGATGGGACAGACCCCCCAGCCGGCAGGAGCGTCCAAGGAAATCCCGTTATGGAAAAGCGAAACGAAATCAAAGCGATGATGGAAGTAGTGAAGAAGACGATGACCAGAGAGCAGAAAATACAGCGGTGCAACTGACAAAAGCACTCAACTCGATGGCCAGGAAAACACCACTCATGACCTTTGACGGCAGTCGTGACACAGTGAGTGGGTGGACACGATTGGTGAAAGAAACCCAAAGGACTTATCAGTTGACAGACGACCAAGTCATGATTGAGATAGCCAGTGCAGTGAAAGGTCCTGCAAAAACATGGTTTGAAGGAGAAAAGGACATCGCAGCAGAAGATGGAACCGAATATTCAATAACTGAATGGATGGAGAAATTCAAAGATGAATATGGCGATAGAGACGAAGAAGTCTTAGGCTTACGTGAGGCCTACGCGAGGAAATTTGAACTCGGAAAGGAATCGCTTGACCAGTATTATCAGGCGATAATGCGCTTCAAAGCGAAGAGAATTATCACCGAAAAGCAAGCAGTCGGCTTCCTAATTGAAGGATGTAGAGGGGATAACGAACTCTACAAGGCATTGCGTATACAGAAGTGCAAGACGCCAACGGACGTGAAGGACTTCTTCCGACATTGGGCAACGGGAGAGGAAAGGTATAAGGCGCCGAAAGGTCAACGTAATCAGGAATACGTGACCATCCGCCAAGGCCAAGTTGAAAACGTGCCGCAACAGAGAATGGCAGCTGCGCCAGTCCAGCAGCCGGTGGAATACCGCAGGGAGGCTCCGGTGCAAGAGGTCACCAAAGAAGTGACCTTTATCGACAGTCAGACGGGACAGCCACTCACGTACGCAATGGTAGCTGCGATACAGGCGGCGGCTCAAGTGAGACCGATACCTCAGAATGTGGCCCCACCGGCACCACAGAATGTGGCCCCTTTGAACACTGGGTTACCACAACAAGGAATGGGTAACGGAAACTTTGGCGGAAACGGATACGGAAATGGAAATTGGAATGGAGGTCAGGGGAACTTCCAGAATCAAGGTCAAGGTCAAGGGAACTTCAGAGGGAATCAACAGCAAAACCAAGGGTCACGAACTGAGTTTAAGTTCCAGATGATTGATGGATGGGTGGCGAACAATGTGCAGATGTGCCAGTACTGTATGTATGGCAACCACCAGACTCAGGGATGTAAATTCGCCAACACACCACCGGAACAGAACCCAAACCTGTTTGCCTTCAACGAGTGGCAACGACTGCGCGGGCTCGGTGGTTGGCGCCAAGCGGTCGCAAATGGATATGACCTGATCACGCAATGGTACCAGGCGAAAGCGAACTTTCAGAATCAGCAAGGTAACGGGAACTATGGAAATGGAAATGGGGGCGGCCAAGGCGGCGGCTATCGCGGCGGTGGCTTCGGCCGCGGCGGCTTCAGAGGAAGGAACAGAGGCTATGGCCGCGGAAATTACAGAGGCGGTGGAAATGGAGGCGGAAACTACCAACAGGGTGGTGGCCAGCCAAACGGAGGTGGCCCAGTGAACGAGCAAGCACAAGGACATGTGCAGGGCGCGCAACAAGGTGGAGCGCCGGTTCAGGGAAACGGGCAAGATCAGTAGGCACCGGTGAGCCTACTGATCGACCCGACCCTAAACCACCGGATAAAAGGGAAATGTCACCACTGCAGAATGGTACTGCAGTGAATGTGACCACTGCGACGGCTATATGGATGCCGTCAGCGAAAAAGCAAAGTGGACCGGCTATATGGATGCCGCAACCACAAGAAACGGCTAGATGGATGCCGTCACAGCAAAGAGAAACGGCTATATGGATGCCGTCATCGCAAAAAGGAAATGGAACGGTTATAAGGATACCGTCACAGAATCAAAGGTCACCGCAGAATGGTACTGCGAGTGGAAACGTTCAAGTGGATAAAAGGTCACCGCAGAATGGTACTGCGAGTGGAAACGCGCAACGGGACCAAAGGTCACCGCAGAATGGTACTGCGAGTGGAAATTGTCGTGACGGTAGCGCGACACTGCAAGAAGTGCAGCAAAATGAAAGGTCACCGTA